TGATAATAGCTTTAATTGGAGCTAGGTACATTTCAAAAGATGAAATAAATAGTTAAAATCAGTGTAATTATTTATTGCCATCACTGTGTTGTATGTTTGATGCAAGGGCATATGCCAGAAAATGATGTGGTGTTCCAGGATGGTTCTTCAGATGTCTGGCGGTGAGACGTGATGCAGGCAGGAATCGCTGAAGAGAATCGAGTTGCAGTCAGGTTGAGTCAGATCGCCCGGGGTGGAGTGATGAACTGACAGAATGATGGATGCGGTGACAGGACTGCGGAGGGGAAAGCGCGCGAGGCTGGTGGAGGGCAGGAAAATGATTTGATGTGGTGATGCCAGTGTTCAGATCTGGAGTTGAGCTACGGAGTGATCACCTGTCTCCATTGAGACAACTTGTTTTGACCAAATTTTTTTTAGTTGTCTTGTCTATAGCATTTTCCTGTTGGTACTGGCACGTTTTCAAGAGGTACAGCTATAGTCGTCTCTCAGACCTGACTCAAGATGGAGGTTAAATTTGGATGATCTAATAGCTAAAAAGCTTGTTTTTCGGACTGTGTTTTAGGCGTATAGACTTTATGTGGTTGCCTCCGTAAAAGAGGGTGGGTTGATTCCTGGCTGCCGATCACAGCGCTTGAGCTTCCTGGCATTCCCTGCCCCTCTCGTGCTCAGCCACTGGACACAAAACGCTACATGATGTAAAAGTTCCTGAATAACTGTGCTCTATTCAGAGATGTTCAACGTGAGAACATGCATGGACACGTGTACACGTTGAAACACAGATGCATGCTCAGACATTAACTTATTATACACACAAACTCAATCCCAGTTGGCGTACCAATGGTGGAGCAGGAGGTCTGTTGGGCAGCTGGACAGGCCAGGTTTGTGTGCAGTCAAAGGGCTCTGTGTTTGAAGCGGGCTGATTACTCACTGGACTCGCAGCCCACATTTGGAAACAGTTAGAGGGAGATTGCAGGCTGCCATGGCTTCTACCAATCAATGCTGCTGCAGCACTGGTTGGAGTGCAGTTGATCCACTCGCCCAGCATTTGCACTCAGTGGATGGTAGTACCCCGCTTAGACCCCAGACCCTGTCTTTATGAACTTGTAATTCTCATTCTGATTGTGACCTCTTAACAGTACCATATGTAATTGATTATAACTTTGGCAGATGTTTGCAAAAGGGTCAATGATATACAAGAGAGTGCATGATAAATAAAAAGCTATGTTGGTCTACATTTTTTTGTACCATTTTTAAGAAGATTTTAAATTTGTTGACACAGGTGGTGTAACCATCAAGTAAGAAGTAATAACATATTTTACTTGCACCATTTTAACTAATTTACATAATGTGAGTGTACGCATCTTCATTATATTTAAGAAAAGGTTATTAAGGTAAAATGTATATATTTATAAATATCATAAATTATAAACTAAATATAATTGCATAATTTTTGAGGGTTAAGTTGTTTTTATGCCTTGTCATAAATGTTAAAATGATCTAATATTTTAAGACCTATACACAAAGTCATGAGAGGCTGCAGGGGTCCTCTCTGTGATATCATTTCCTGCTTTGTGTTGCAACACATGACTGATTTGATGGGCAGTTCTATTATTTTAGCCTATTAAATAATAATAAAAGATTATGACAGACTACTTAAGTTTTTTTTTTAACAAAAATATCAAAGTGAATAATATATAAAGACATTTAAAACATGCTCATCATAAGTATTCAAATCATTGTATGTATTAAGTATGGAGTTTTTTTTTAATGGAGTATATTTGAAAAAATGGATAGATAGGACAACAAAAATGAGTGTTATGTTATTGACTTTAAAAGCAATTTAATATGGAAGGTGGTGTTGGTATTTTAGAATATATATGATGTTTTTACATGAGTTTGTACAAAGTGGAGGATGAATGAAAATGAGAAGATGAAAAGGGGTAGGACTAAAGGAGGGATGCAATTGGAAAATTCACAAGCTTGCCAACCTCATTCAACAGGCGGAATTTAATTCCATCACAAGTGAAACATATTTGCCAGGGAACCGTATTCATCCTTATACAGGTGCTTTTAATGGTACAGATGCCACAAATATTACAGATGCTTTTAAAAATGCACTGGTAGTAGATATGCTTGATATGCCCCACAAGGAAAACAGTCTATAGATCATACTAAATGATTTTTTTTTTCTGTGAGGGTTATGTTTAGTAGTAGCGTTAGTTGATTCGTTCAGTATACAAAGTATTACACATATATGGAAAGTCATCCTAATGATATAAAAACAAGTTAGTGTGTGTATAATACTTTTATTCAGCAAAGATGAATTAAATTGTTCAAAAGTGACAAGACATTTATAATACAAGATATATATATATATATATATATATATTTAACTTTCTGTTCTTCAGAGAATCCTAACAAAATGTATCACAGTTTCCACAAAAGAAGCACAACTGATCTTAACATTGCTAATAATAAGAAAATGTTTCTTGAGCACCAAATCAGCATATTAGAATGATTTCTTAAGGATCATGTTACACTGAAGATAACTAAGCTACTGAAGTTACCAACAAAGAAACTGTGTGATGTTAGAGGTTAACACCTCTCAGTCACACATCCTTACAGTCCTTTACTCGAAACATTCTCAAACGGTTTATTCTTCCCGTTCACTGTATCTTACTTGGCTCTTCATGCTCACATGGTCAGTGAGGCCACATGCCTGTACGCCACCCTTCCTCTGCTCTTATTGGAGCAACTGAGAGAAGCTCGGAGATCTCTAATCTCCTGCAGTATTGAAATATACAGTCCAGAGAGAAAGAGAGAGTGCAGTCATTACATAGTTTTGAGGAGATAGCAATAGACCTCATTAGCCCCACCTGCAACACCCCAGTGCCTCCACACTCTCATTCTCCGCTAAATTGAGAAGAAACACTGTCTCTGGCGAAACATGCAGATCATTCTCTCTCTCTTGCTTTAAGAAAGTCTGTGTTTAACGCATGCTGATTGATCTTGACAGCTGTTGAGATGATTTATTGAACGCTGTGGGTGTATTTAAATGTATTTTAGGTTGTCATTTATCAAAATTGCATTTTAGCATGGAATCTGAATGATACTGAAAGAATTTTACAGTCCTGTCTCAGTAGTGCTGAATGTCTAGAAGAGTGTTATGACTTTTTTCTTTTTTTTTCTCCACTGTTTTTTACCAACTTCTTTTTTTTATAAGTGTCTCTCTTAGCCTCCATCACTGTTCTCACTTAACTTGTTTTCTGTGAAATAAGATGTGCTTTCCTCTGTTATCACATGTATGCATGAATTACTTAATCTGTTGTTGCTTTTCTTGCTAGCTCTTCCTCTTTTTATTGTTATTGTTATTATGCAGCTGATGTTGTGATGTTTCCTCTTTGTGACAAAGATGAGGGCAATGTCATGAAAATGGAGAGAAAGCATCATCACTAGCAGCCCCCCCCCCCAATTTTCTTTAAAAAAAAAAAAGTTATTATATT